TTAGCATCATGTCTTTCCACCCTAACGTGAACCAGGACATTTAGTTGTCCTATGACTTACTAGTTCCTTCTACTTTCCTGGGTCTCAGTTTCCTTATCTGTAAAATGGGGATAAAACTGATCATACCTACATCTTAAGGCTGTGAGAATTGAGTTGGATGTTGAGAGATGCAAAATAGTCTAGCAGCAGTAGTCAGATGGGGTAGACTTAAGGTCCCTTTGTAGCTCTAAATCCTGGGAAAGAAAAATATGTAGCTACGATGCTTTAACAGCTGATGCCTACATGGCCCTTTATAGTTTGTAAAGCACTATATGTTTGTATATTATATATGTGTGTGTGTGTGTGTGTATCATTTATATATACATGTGTAGATTATTATATACACGTGTGTTATTTATATATACATGCATGCTATGTATATTAAAGCATGTGCTATGCATGTGTACATTGTGCGTGTATGTATAAGTGTACATGTACATTTGTATGCATGTATGTGTGTATGCACATACCTTTCATATATACACATGTGCATGTGTGAATACACACATATTATACATGCACACGCTGTGTATGTGTGTGTATATATGTATATATGTATGTGTGTGTATATACACACATACACACACACACACACACACACACACACACTTATTTGAGCTTTAAGGTTTCTGAGGCAATTTCTTCTTCACAATCATGTGAAGTAAGTCTTACAAAATAGCATCCCCATTGTCCAGATAAGGAAACTGAAACCCAGAACTGAGGCAAGCTGACCATAGTTCTGTACCTGGGCAGTTTGGGACCTACAATCATAGATTTGAAACTGAACTCACCCTTGGGAATTTTCTAGTCCAACCCCTCATTTCACAGATGAGGAAATTGGGCCCCAAGACTAGTCAGTGACTTTCCCCAGATTATATAGTAGCATTGAGGGCCAAATCTGAGATTTGAACCCAGACCTTCTGACTCCCACCCCAGTCTTCTTTCTCATCATGAAACGCTTCAGCTCTGAGATTCAAACTCAAGTTGCTTTTACTCAGATTAATGCCCATTTCCACCAGGCTCTGTTATCACTCTTCAAAAGAGTCCAATGAATGTCAAACATCCTTAATGTCCATGAGGTCAGCAATTGGATTAGGCCAGGCTCCAGGAAGAGAAGGTCTCTGGCCACAGCCCCAGGAGGGAAATAGCATCCCCATGGTGAACTCTACACTGGCTTTCTAATCTAACAGGCCAGTTCACAGCAATGATCATTAATTCCAACAGCAGCTTAGCTTCTGTGTACAGAGCACAGAAAGACAGTGAAGGAAAAAGTGCAGTTAAAATATGATCCCCACCTTCATGAAGCTCACATTCCAGAAGGGGAATAAACCTACAATGCATGGCACATAGTAGGTGCCTCATATTTGCAGAACTGAGTTGTTGTGGGAAGACAAACATACACAGTGAAGTAAGCAGATTCAGGAGACATACATACATTGATCACAATAACACAAGTGGAGAAAAATGCTAACACACTTGCTCACGCACGCGCGTATGCACGCGCACGCACACGCACACACGCGCACACACACACACACACACACACACACACACACACAGAGTCAGATTCAATTGACAGACTGCTAAAGTCCTTTCCCACCCCCTTCTTTTTTAAAAGGTATGGCTTGATGAGGGAGGGCAATGGATTCGTCTATTTAGAAATAAAGGATGTGAAAATAAGAGCAATATATTTTTAATTGACTTGTGAATCCTTCTGCAACTGAATACATAGATCTCTCTGGCCTCAGTTTCTTCATCTGTAAAATGGGGGGCTGGGGGAAGGGTAGTGTATTGAACTAGATGACCTATAAAAGTCCTTCCAGCTCTAAGTCTTAATTCATGAGCAAGATTAAAAAATAGAGAGAGAAATAACTATGATTTCTATTACATAAGTACATTAGAGAAAGGCAAACTCCCTTCTCTGAAGATTCATTGCCAACTGGAAAAATCAGGGAAGACTTCCTGAAGAGAGCCTAGGAATTGGGCTTCCTCAGGAGTTACAGAACAATATCTCCTAACAAGAATTCAATTAAAGAAACATTTATTAAACACCTACTATGCTCAAGGAACCATATTAGGTAATAGGAACGTAGACAGAAATGAACAGTTCCTGACCCTAAGAGTTGTGGCAGGGGGAGAAGGAGGGAAGGGGGGAGGGGGAAAAGAAGGGAGGGAAGAACAGGAGGGAGGGGGGAGGAGGAGGAACCATACCAAATACAGCTAGGAAACAAATAATGAGATCAAACAGGTATACTAATAACTAAGGAGAAATCATAAAAGGCTTCTTAGAGGAGGCGACACCAATTTTTTGGCACAGATACTTGATTTCTCTGTTGTAAAGAGTCTCCATGTGCACCAATAATAAACAAGTCCCAATTCTTCAGTGTTTTGCAGCTTACAAAATATTTTCATCAAGACTACCCCATCAGGGAGCCAGTACATGTATTATCCCCATTTCACAGATGAGGAAATGGAGGCCGAGAAGGAGACTGATTTACCTAGATCACATTGCTAGTAACTATCTGAGGCAATTCTCCCCTGATGCTCCCTTCCACCACACTACCATTTCATGTAGACACAGTAACCCCTAGAGATCTCCGCACACTAGTGGTACCAATAGTCCTCCCCACCCCCTCCCACAATAAAACGAATTCCTTCCCAAACACGAAACACTGATCTGTCTATACCAGCTCAGCTGAACAGATACAGCCATGATCGAGTTATTTGCTCCAGCTGGGGGTCTCTAAAGATTTATGACCACCAATAATTCTGGATCTCTGGCCCTCTGCTGGCTTCACATAAACCCTGACGCCCCTACTCAACCCCTCTTCCTAACAAAGGAGGTTCAAAGCAGTCGGTATAAGAGCCTCCCCCCCAGACTCGTTGGGCCAGCTGAAGGCATACATGGTCAGGAGCATGTTTCTCCTGGGTTCAGACTGCCATGAAGCGGGGTTGGAGTCAGGCACAGAGAATTCTGGGAAATACCTGCAAACTGATCCTTAATCTATGATGAAGGTGTCACATAGAACCTTCTTGGGTCTAAGACCTTCAGTTCCCCTATAGGTGGGTGAGAGTGAGAGGTAGGGGAACAAGAACAAAAAAAAAAATCTGTGACTTCACTAGCATTGGTATCAGTAACAGTGATGCTCAGTGAGGAACTCCCACTACCAACACAGGTCTGTCTAGAATACAACTGCTAATTTTGAGCAGTAATCTTGGGTACAGAGAGGTTAAGTAATTTGTCTAAGGTCACACAGTCAGCATCTGTCAGATGTGAGTCTGACCTCCCGAGGTCTTCCCGGCTCTGAGGTTAGCTATCTACCACACAGGCTGCCTCTCATCAAATCTCAGGATTCCTGTGTAACATAACTTTCTGGAGTGCTTTTAATTAGGGTTTCTTAACAATAACCCTGTTAGGCAGAACTACATGAATTATCCCTATCTTGCACAATAGGAAACAGACTCAGAGAAAAAGGACTCGTCCATGATCATGAAGCTCCTATGGGAACACAACAGGAAAAACTGAAGTCTTCCCTATACAAGTCCAGTGTTCTCACCGCTAAACCCTACTGGGTCTCCAAGGTCCAAATCCAAGCTGATTTCTTCCAGGCAGTTTCCCTTGATACCCCTGGGCTGATGGGTTCTCTTACAACCCCTTACTCTTTCTCCCACTCAGATAACTCATAATAATAGCCAGCATCACTTTAGCATTTCAAAGTTGGCTTTTTTTTTTTGGAAGCAATCGGAGTTAAGTGACTTGCCCAGGGTCACACAGCTTGGAAGTGTCTGTGACTGGATTTGAACTCAGGTCCTCCTGACTCCAGGGCTGGTACTCTAACCACTATGGCACTCCCTAGCTGCCCCCAAAGCACTTTAAAGATGTTATCTCGATTGATCCTCAAAACAACCTTGGGAGTTGGGTGCTATTATTATCATCTCCATTTTACAGATGAAGAAACTGAGGTTCATAGTGGTTAAATGACTTGTCTAGCAGTCACACAGCTGGTAAGTGTCTCAGGTAGGATGAGAACTCAGGTTTTCCTGACTCTGGGTCCAGCACTCTACTCACATGCTCTCCCTCCCTCTCCTCTCCTCTTCCCCCCCCCCTTTTCCTGACTCTCCCTTCTTCACCTTACCCAGGTCACTTAGTTAATATCTGAGGCAGGATTCAAACCCAGGCCCAAGTCCTATAGTTTATCCACCATGCCTCTCATATATTTACAGAAAGTTCTTCCTCCCCAGAAATCCCATGAGATATACAGTAAAAGCATCACTATCCCCTTTTATGGATAAGAGGACTGAGGCTCAGAGAGGGAAAAAAATCAAGTGGGGACTCTATTTCACAACTTTATAGCAAACTGCTTCTTCCAAATAAAAATAATTTGTGGCCCAGCTCATCATATCCAAAACAATGATTCTAAAGTACGTGAGCACAATTTGCTCTTTCCAGTAGAATAAACATAGCCCTTAATCTTGTTTACAAACTGATTTTGCTCAACAGATCAATAGCTTCATTGTGGTATGCCTCAGCCGGGCCAGCTCATCATGAACCCCAAAAGGAGCTGGGGATGAAATAATGGGCAAACTGGATTTGCCAAGTCCTACCTATGGAACTCTGAAGAACCAAATCACATAGGGATAGCAGACCCTCTACAGGGAGGGGTTGTACTGGGGATGGGAGCAGCTAAATTTCAAGCCAAATGAAAAGGCCAGTTAGTGTCATGGCTTATTAAATTCAGGCCATCATATCCTGCAAGAGATGTGTGGTATACATGTGAAATTACAATAATTACTCTCTTTGAGTGTTAGGTCTATGAACTTTGACTGGTCTAAGAAATGGAGGGTGAGCTTTTACATCCTAAAAACCTTTGGGTTGGCAGCCTTGCCTACAAAAGCAGGGAAAAGAGAATCTAATGATCAGGTTCAATAGACTCCTCAAATTAGTTCTTTTTGGAAACCAGGGCTCAGCTGCTACACAAAATTAAATTAAAGAGAAGATGGCCAGCCTGGCAAAGGGAAACCAGCTACCCCATGGAAATAAGAAGGCATCTCAGGCTTCCTGAGAGCCTTTCATGTCATCATCTGCAAACACCCAGCTAATTATGGTAAACTGGGCTCCCCCCGCAACGCCAGAGAGAACAGCTGCATGAGAAAAAGAAAGAATAGGCTTGGCAGAAGCAAGGATGGGGCCAAAAGGAGCAGGGAAGGGCATCAGGTCCCTCGGGGTCATGGATGAGAGGAAGGCAGAAGAGGAGAGGGCAGAGGGGGGAAATCACATGATACTTCAATGGTTCCACGATCTCATTGTCCCAGGTTCCCACTGGCCGCCTCCATGGGTGACAACTTCCATGCCCTCTCAATGGGAAAGACTCTTGTTCATGACTTTAAGAAATCATTCCTAGAGTATCTCCCCCCTGAAAGCCTCCTTCAGGATCTTTTAATATTTCATAGCTAACAATGCAGGATTGAGGATGGCCATCTGCTACCCTTAATGCTCACTCCATGTTCTTTTGGCAGATTGAAGCATATGGCCAGCCATGACTTGTGCACAAGAAGTGATACAGAGACATCGTTGAAGGACAGTCACATTGACACAGGGCTTCATGAATTACAAGAGCACACTTTGTGTGCCTTTACGTGTTAGATCTTCACATCTGGGAGGTGGATAGTAAAAGGGTTATGGGTTTGGTTTGGAGTCTTGGGGTTCTTTTTAGATTTCTTATTTCATCGGTCTTGGTGAGTAAAACTCCCTCTAACAAAGTAAATCACCACCTGCTCGGCAACGAATAGTTATAAGACAGTTGCCTTGGAGGCACTGAAAGGTGAAATAACTTACCCAGGGTCACATAGTCTGTATGAGTCAGAGGCAGCCCTTGAACCCTGGTCTTCTTAGCTCCAAGGTCAGCTTTCTGTCAACCATAATGCTGCCTCTCAGTACAAAGACCAAGAGTGCTGAATTATGAAGGGCCAAGTTCAAATCTCATCTTAGATACTAGCTGAATGACAGTGGGCAAGTTATATCATCTTCATCACCATTAGCATTTGCAAAGCACTTTAAAATGCCTCATTTTATCCTCACAGCAATCTTGGGAAAGTAGAAGCTATTATTAACCTCATTTTATAAATAAGGCAACAGAGAGAGGTTAAGTGACTCATCCATGGTCACATAGCTAGCAAGTATCTGAGGCAGGATTTGAACTCAGATCTTCTTGACATCACGTCCAGTGCTCTAGTAACCCAGGGAAAGTTGTTTCACTTCCCCGTGCCTCAGCTTCCTCATCTGTACAATGGAAATAACAATAGCTCCCAACTCGAGGGGTTATTGTTCAACTCAGCTAACTCATATAAAAGACTTTGCAAACCTCGAGCTGTGCAAATGGTAGCCGTTATCTACTGTACCACTGGGATGCCTATTTAACTTCTCTCAGCCTTGGTTTCCTCATCTGTAAAATGAAGATAATGTTAGTACTTACCTCCCAGGGCTGTGATGAGGATCAGATAACTTACATAAAGTGTTTTGTAAACCTTAAAACACCATAGAAATGCTAGCTATTTTTATCTAGTTTATAAATGAGGGAACTGAGTATCAGAGAAGACTTTGTCCAAGGTCACACAAGGGTTGTACTTAAATCCAGCTCTTCCAGCTCTTCTGTTGTTCATGCTTATCCACTGCACTATCTCTTACATGTGCACCCTTACCTCTACACCTTTGCTCATGCCGTTTCTCCTTCCTGGGACATTTATTTCTCTTTCTCTTAGCTCAATTGCTTTGTTTTTATTCAGTCATATTCAATTCTTCATGACCCTATTGGGGGTTTTCTTGGCAAAGATACTAGAATAGTGCGCCATTTCCTTCTCCAGCTCATTTTACAGATGAGGAAACTGAGGCAAGGAGGGTTAAGTGACCTGCCCAAGGTCACAGTTAGTAAGTGTCTGAAGCTGGATTTGATTCAGCCCAGTGCTCTATCCACTACCCCACCTAACTACCCAGCTATATTGTACATTCAAGTCCTATTTCAGGAGCTACCACCACCTATAAGAAGTTTCCCTTGATTACTCCAGCTCACCATGACCTTACTCTTGAAATTCCTAGAATATGAATTGTCTATACCAGAGCTGTCAGACACACAACACTCCCCAGCAGCCTGAACTAGATTAAAGTGTAATTAGAAAATATTTGGCAAAATAATTAAAAATACAATAAAACATAGATAATGTTAATGTGTGGTTTTCTAAGTGAATATGTGGCCCACAGGGACCCTTAATGTAGACCTCTATTGGAGTTTGACAAAACTGGTCCATACCACTTTTACCCAGTGCCTGGTAATGTTAAGGGAGGGGAGAAAGGAGATGGGAAACAAGAGTCAGAACACTTAAGCTCAAAAGTCTGGACTCTCACCCTCCTACCTTGATGTTATTCTCAAAGATCACCAATAAAGAATCCTGCTAAACCTACTAGTCTTTTCTCAATCCTCACACTATTTTACACTTGTGGCCATCTCCTCCTTGAAATTCTTCTCCAGGTTTCTCTGACGCACCAGCACAGTTTCCTCCTACCTCTGGGTTCATCCGTTCTGATGGGCTTTCCTCGAGGCTCAATTCCTAACACTCTGCTCTTCTCCTTATATTCTATTTTTCCCCAAAGCAATACTATCTTAGAGCTTTAAATCTCTCCACTGGAGACTCAATAAAGTAGTTCCTCCCAAACTTTGCAAGGATTCACACAAACGTGAACTGAGAAATTAGCTCATATGTAGAGTTCTGCATTGAGTCTAATACTAAATTTTAGCTAAGATACAGTCTCTGACCTTGAGGGACTTATAATCTAGTAAGGGTTCCCACTAGGCTATTTATTTGTGTTTATAGAAATAGCTATAATATAAAATGCATCACAGAAGAGATGTGCCAAGTGCCCTGGGCAATCCTAAAGGGAAGATACAGGAAATCAAGAAAACTTTCTCATAAAGGCAGCATCCGAAGCAACTGTGAAGGATGGATAAGAACTTAAGGTAGAAGGAATAAAGGCACAGGGGACAGCAAGTAGTCCAGTGTGTGAACAATAGAGTAGATGGAATAGAGAAATCGAGCTAATGTTGGAAAGGTAGGGAGGCACAAAGCTGTACAGGTTGCTGAATGACAAATTAAGAAATACGAAATAGACGCAGTAGGCAGCAAAGAACCATTAAAAGGCTTTGATCAGACGAGCGATATGTCCAGCTCTGTAGATAAGGAAAAATATTTAGGCAGCAAGGAGGAAGGGACAGCATCTCAAATTTATCTTCACTTCAATTTGGAAGTACCCTTATGAGTCATCTAGTCCAACCCCTGACTTATATAAAAAGAAATCAGCTATCTATTAACTGTTAGCTTCTTGAGGGCAGGGATTGTCTTTTGCTTCCTTTTGTATCTCCAGCACTTAGCACAGTGCCTGCCACGTAGTAGATACTTAATAAATGCTTATTGGTTGACTGATTGATTACATCTCTCCTCCTGAACAAAAGCAATCTAGCATAAGACCTCATCAAATTTGGAGTCAGTGCAGTGGATAGAGCACTGGCTCTGAAGTCAGGAGGACCTGGGTTCAAATCTGGCCTCAAACCAAATACTTGACACTTACTAGCTGTGTGACCCTTAGGCAAGTCACTTACCCCCAATTGCCTTAATAATAATAATAATAATAATAATAATAATAATAATAATAATAATGATTTGGAGTCAGGAGACTCCTCATAGAAGTCCTGGGAAGCAAGTAGGGACAAGGCTTTATTGTGCTGGTTTTATAGATTAGGAAAGGGAGGCTCAGAAGTCAAGTGACTTGCCTAGGACCCCATATCTGAGGAAGTGTTTGGAGCTAGGATTCGAACCCATTATTTTCCACCATCGTGCCTTTGCATAGGCTGTGCCTCATGCTTGGAATGCCTTCCTACTCCTTCTTCAGCATTACCTTCAGAATCACTTGTCTCCAAAAACAAAACAAAACACCCTCTGCTCCAGAATTGGTTTCTTCACGAAACCTTTCTCGATGCCCTCAAATGCAGTGCTCTCCTTCCCCAAACCATATATTTACATTTATGTATGTATATGTGATCTCCCATAAAATATTAACTCCTCGAAAATAGGAAGGGTTTTTTTGTCTTTTTATCTTCTCATGGCATAATAGTAGGTACTTAAAAGTGATTATTAGACTGAATTAATAATTTCGCATTTATAAAGCACTTACTATGTGCCAGGTACCATACCAGGTGCTAAGGTTACAGAAACAAATGAAAAACAGTCCCTGTCCTTGAGGGGCTTCTAGTCTATCTAGACAGATAAAACACAAGCTAATTGAGGGCAACAAGTAGGAAGAACGAAGGAGCTTAGGAAGGGCGTCCTGAAGAAGCAGCATGTGCAGTGAATCTTGAGGGAGAAGAAGTCCAAGAGGAAATGCAACACATTCCAGGCATGGTGGACAGTTGGACTAAATTTATGGAAGGTAGTGATGGAATGCCAAATATAGGGAAGAGCAGGTAACCCAGTCTGGCTAGAACGTAGAAGTGAAGGGGAATAGTGTGAAACAAGCCTGGAAAGATAGGTAGGTGGGATCCAGATTGTGAAGAGTTTTTGGCTTCATCCATCAACTGAGGATGATGGCAGATACACACCCTCAATCCCCCCCCCCCCACACACACACACACTTTACAAGGCAGTGGTGAGAAAAGTCAGTTCAGCACATCTTGTGATAAAAAGCTCCCCATCTACAAATTCTCAATGCCTTTGCTGGACAGCTCCAGTTCACTGGAAAATGGATTCCTAACAACTATTTTTTATGGCACAAAAAGCCTGTTTCAGAGAAGCCCAAAATCTCAGGGGTGGAAAGAACCCAAGAGGCCATCCTAATCTAACCTGTATGTGAACAAGCATACCTTCTATATTTCACATCCCCCCCAAAAGGCCATCCAGTCTTGGCTTTCAGACCTCCACTAAGGGGATAACTACACCCACCCTCAATGAAGCAGCCCATTCCACTTTGGGAGTAGCTCTCATCGTAAGGCAGTTTTTCCTTTACATCAAGTCTAAATTTATTACTCCAAAATTTCCACTCATTGCTGCTGTTCCTGCCCTTTTCAACCAAGCAGAAGCAATCTTTTCTGCCTTTCCACAAAACAGACCTTTAAATACTTGAAGAAAGCTCTTATCCTTCAATCTGCATCTCCCTCCTTGCAAAGCATCCATCCCCTGTTCCTTCAACCAGGTCCTGCTTGACCTTTTCTTATGTGGACATTTTATTTGCTGAAAGGGGTTTAAAGGGACATTTTGTGCAAGACACAGAGAAAAGTAGATTAAGGAGGAACAGAGGCTGTGAGGAAAGAAATGGAGAAAGAGTAGCTCCTCAGAGGGAAACATACTGACCGATGACATAGAAGGCATAAGTGCCGTTTCCCAGTAGCTAATTTGAAGGTAATTGTTTCTAGAACTTTGAGGTTTAATGCTGGTAAATTCTGAACACAATAAATGCTTGAAGATGTGTGATAGTGATTTCTATCATGTCTGATATGTCTGGATTTGGGGTTCTCATCCTAAGTTATAGATGGGTTACTGTGCTTGAAGAAGTCATGATTAGAAGCATTAAAGATCAGAAGTCAACAATCAAAGAAGCAAAAGAGAAATCAGAGAAGTCAATGAGAAA